CTGTCGCCTGCCGTCGCTGTGAGCCGGAGGCCGGAGCTGTGGTGGCGGGATCGCTCCCCTTGAGTCTTCATCTTCCCGTGGAACGTTTGGGGGAAGGGTGGCGCTTGTGATAGCTTGGGAGTGCTGCTGGGGTGACCCCAAGTTGCTGAAACGCCCTGGTTCCATCTCTGGGGAACAATGCTGCTCGCTTCCCTGCCAGAGGCTGCTTTGGACTGTAGGGAGCCTACGGTGTCTTTATGACTGTTCACATACAGATAGTGCAATTCCTGTGCAAATGCGTCTTTATTTTACTAACATGTGTCCTCATTTTATTTCTGCAGTCCAGATACACTGCAAAATACACTGATAGAACATAGTATCCTCCTTGCTAAACAGGATCTGAACTTAGAATCCAGGTAAGCCTTCTGCTCTGATCTGTTGCTTATTTCTTGCGAGGAGAAGACACTTAACCTATTCTGAACCCCATATGGCTTCTCCAGCGTCAAACTAGGGCCTGAATGCTTCTTATCCCTAGATTTGACTGTGTTCCTGGTTAGTGCTGCTGCAGATGCTGAGATTCACAGTTCAAGTCTGTACGTAAACTCTGCATTAAACTTGGATCTGGGGAACAGGAGTTGCTCTTGCATCTGCATTTCCTGATTTCCTTGCTCCAACAAGTATGATGTTATTTATTTATTTTTCCTTACATTTCCTTTTCATGTTTCCACTGGCTAGGCAGATCTCCTCTGTATATTTTTTTGCCACATCTGCTATATTTCTGATCAGGAAACTTAGTACTCCTGAGACTTGTTTACATTTCCCTTCCCTGAGAATTTCCCCTGCTATCTTTTGTACCATTCTTCTGCTGCTTCCTTGCTGGGTCACTTGCTAGCTTTTTTACTAGCACAGACAGCTGTGCTAATTACAGCACCTGCTGCAGGGTAATGCAGATCCTACATGTATTTTTTTTCTGCAATTTCTATGTTTAAAGTCTTTGTATATTAGATGTGTGTGTGGCTATTGTGCAGATAATGATCTGAGCATGAGTGCTTCTTCATATAGTCTTTACAAATGATTTTTTGCTCCCTCCAGGCCTCTGCACCATTGGGTATAGGCAGACCCACCTACCTATTGCATTCCTTTCCAAGCGACAGGCCAATTAAAGACAAGGCTTTGATAGCCTCATTCATGCTGACATCTCATCTAAATTAATTAGACCACTTCCATAAGACATACTGCATCTGATGAGTAAGTATACACCCATCTGTTTTAAACTTCAGCAGTAGTATTTGTTATAGCTATAACCATATTCTAAGGCAAGATACTAGGATTTCATTTCTACGTTTTACTGCATCTTTTATTTTACTATTTAGTGTGGTCTAGAGCAACTTAACCCATTCTCATAGTACGATTGCTATTAGAAAGAAGTAACTTCCCAATTGTAAAAATATGACATGGCTACCTGCTTTTATAGGCAAACATTCAATACATTCAGGTCAAAACAAGACAATTGTGCTCAGCACCTATTGGATTAATTGATTAAAGAACATAACCATGAATATGTCATACACAGAATGCTTCCTTGTCATTATATTTTTTTCTAATTACATATATTGTAAAAAATCTGACAGTAACGTGAATGTATCTCATTTTTATGTGCTGTTCAGCTGTTCTTGAACAATACAGAAATTCTACTGTTCAACTGAAAGGTCTGTAAAAGTGCAGTTCTTCAAGTGTACCTTCTTAGTGCATCTTCTAGCAGGAAATTCAAGAGCAGCATCTGTACTTCAGTGGAAAGCCAAGCAATCAGTGTAAGTGCACTTTCAAACATACTCACAGATAATAGAGCATCCAAATGCATAAGAAGCCAAAAATACAGCTATGTTGTATTTTTAATATAGATCCATTCCTGTTTGTATCAAAGTTTTGCATACATTAACATTTTTTCTGAGAAAGCCTATATAGGTGAAGATGCATGTGTGATGTCTTAAGAGAAAACATTCAAGATTTCTTTGAAAAAATCTCTTTTCTGGGTAACTGACCAGCAATTACACAGTGCAGACCAAGGAGTGTGCAGGCTTGTCCTCTTTTGTGTAGGCATGCAGTATATACAGAGACTTGGTAGTTATTCACTGCATCTACCCACTTTCATATACTTCAGTAAAAAACAGCCAAAAATAAAAAATAAAGTAATATTTCTGCAAAATAAACATTAAGGAACATAATAAAATGCATAATATAAAGTTTCACTTTATAAATGTTTATATACATGCATTCTCACTTTAAAAAACATCATACAGTCTTTTATTTATTTATTTATTTATTTCTTTTTTGCATGTTGTACTCCCGCTAATAGTTCTATAATCAATTTTCAATGAACTTTTTCTCTGGAAAGGTGTACCTTAGTACACATGTTGTATTTTTAAGCAAAGGGATCGATGCTTAAGATTCCATTTGTGTCTCTGTGTGCTTTGTACCTCTTTATTTTTCAGGTAGCTGGAAGATTTTAGACCTTGGCTGGTGCTTCAGAATGTGTGCAAAGCATATCGCTTGTAGCCAAATCTGATGGGGGCTGTTTAATACAAAGGCCTGGTGTATATTACAAAGTTTCACCAGAATAGCTATGTCAGCCAACATCTCCCAGCCAACAAAACCTCTAGTGTGGACACAGTCTGCTAGCAAAAAAAAGGACTCCTGTCAGCTTAGTTTATGTTATTTTATAAGTTGATGTAATTTTGCTGGCAGGAAACCTACGTTAACGTCTATAGTAGATGACTGCTCAGACATTCACTTCAGAAACAGCTGTGCTAACCAGAAAATCGTTGCAATGTTTGTGTCTCGGAGGCTATTCCCCTTCCAGCACAGCCAGCAGAATGGTCTGTGTGGACACTGCTCATCCACATTGATACCAGGTCAGTCAGATCGCACTGAAACAGCCTGCAACAGCGACCCGGCCCGAACTGCAGCATCTAGTCTGCCAACAGCTGCACTCGTGTCAGCTATTGCCACACGCCAGGCGCTTGTTTCAACTGCCACGAGGTTCCTGCTGCCTCTCCCTTCCTGCCCCCGCCACCAAGATGGTACTGGAACAAAACGGGCACACACCGGGTTCGTTTGGCTCAGGTACTGCGAACTACAGAGGAAAATGAGTTTTGCTTAAGCAGCTGACTTGACACATAAATGAATTAGGAAATAAATTCACATTCATGGTAACGCGTATGTAGAGGACAAACAGCTAGTTTTAGGACTTAAGAGTTACTCAAGACAGATCTGGGACATGAATTTTGGCCAAGCCTTGTGATATAAATAAATCTTAAAACAGCAATCTAAAATAAAGTGGAACCTGGTCTACTTTAGTATTAGAAAATAGAAGTCCGGATTTGGGGAAAAAAAAAGTTCGTTATGATTTTATTGAAAAAGAGTGGTTTTGAAATGGTTATGTCTGTCTGACTCCCTGTGTGAACATTGTTGTCTAAACACCTGAATAATTAACTGCTCACAAAACAAAAATACCCAGGAGTAGCTATAGAGAAAAATATTTTACAATAGCTCTACAACCTTTAGCAATAGAGTAACATAGAGCAGCACTGACAGTTAAACCAGAATGAAACATATTTTTGCTAGCAGAACTAATTTATAGAAAGATGGTAATATTACTTTCCTTGTTGTTAATACAAGGTGCTATGTACATGGTTTTATGATGCAGTTTTGGCAAGGACACAAAGCTAATTGCTGAAGCACAACAGCTTTGATACTTTGGGGAGGGTCTTCAGTTTTAGTTTCTTGTGTCCTGTTAAAGAGATTGTCATTTGCTGAAGCTCAGCAGGACAACTGGAAACAGCCTCATTAGTCTGACATCCCACTACTTCTGTTAGCATAAACATACCAGTTATATAGATAGACTTGTTAGGCAAATATAAAAAAGAAAAAGAGGAAATGTCATGTGCTTTCTAACACATCTTGAATGCATGTTGTTGTCTGTAGACATTTAGCGCTGTATATTGCACTTTTTACCCTCTCTCTACCAAAGACAAGGCCTATGTGACTGATTAGTCCCTTGTCACACATGCATAATTCACATGAATTGCAGAATCCCCTACTTACCCTAGAAAGTAGAAGTAACGTGCATGCTATTTCTCATTTTTGGTGTGGATTTTCTTTTTTTCTGGAAAGTCATCCTTGGTAGTAACTTGTGAACTTCAGTGGGAGAAAGAGCAGGGGTGAGAGGGAAATGTTTTTCTAGACAGTGTTAAGGGAAGTGTTAAATACCCAGGTGACAGCAGTGCCCCTCTCTGGTCGGCTGGAGCGGGCTGTGGGAGTAGGCTGACCAGGAAAAGCACTTACTCTTTTTTAAACAATTTCTGAAATTCCTAAAATCCTTATAACAGTTTTTTGTTTCAATTACAGTGTGGATCATCACTGAGGTGTTTCTGTAAAGCTTCCTTGAAAGATTTTGTCAAGACTTCTGCTGAAGGCAGACCTAGCAGTAAGGAAGTTCTTCTGTTATCCTGTGGTGCACTTGCGAAGACAGGCTGGCTGTGTAAGGTATGGTTGTGGGCAAGTTTCCTAACTTGCACAGCTCTGTTTCTTTAGTATCTGTTTGGAACACTAGGAATATTACTTTGAATGTTCACACAAACACACTACAGAGTAAGATACAGAGTCCATTAAATGAAATTATGTTACACTCTCTTTAATGAAGTTTCATTTTGTAAAAGCAGACAAAAACCCAACATTTGAGAGTAGTAGGTAGGAAAAGGAATTGGAGTAAGTTAAGAATTAAGAATAATGGAAGATTGTTATCTATTTAGTTGTGGAAAAAAAATGTGTACTTTGCAGCTTTTTTTTTTTTTTTGTCACTATGGCTCATCTCTTAACCGGAATATTATTTACATATTGGGGAAAATCTGGATGCAATATTAAGAGCTGTATACCTCCAACAAGCTTCAGTAATTTGGTAAATGAATTGAGTGATTGCTTGTCCTTAAATATCTACAATAACACGTACAATTCATAAAGGTAATGAGCCTGGTAATTCTAAAATAAATTATTTGTTATACAATCACTGTAAAAAATGCAGTAAACCCTGACCACTGTTCCATCTTTAAATATTTATTATCAGCAGTTCTTCTGCAAAATGCATTGAAAATATCTTAAAACCCAGAACCATAAAATAGGAATCCTCTATTGATACAAATAACCTGATGGGTGAGTGAAATTTAAATCTGAAATTTTACCCACCTAAGATGCAGTGCAGTGCTCAAACTGCCACAATTTGTATTTATCTTGAGAATAAAATCAGGAACAGTATTAAAAAAAAAAAAAAAAAAAAGCCCTGTAACAGCCCGGACCCTGACCACACAGCCAAACACAGACAGGAAACTTCCTTCCCTTTATTTAGCTAAGTAAGGAGCAATACAGTTTTACTCGTGGAGTTTTGCCAGGTTATTCCTAATCTTGGATTTCCTTTCCTGCACACCACCTATTGTTCACATTACAAAGTCACAGTATAGGAAACAGGCGTTCTTGCATAAACTGGAACTGGAAAAAATCACCATTTGTACCTTTGAGTCTCCATATGGACACATTTCATGCAGTGTTAAAAAGGTCTAATATATTTTAATATATTTTAACACTAAATTAAAAAAATAAGATTTTTGTCTTAGAATTCAATTATTTTTCTCTTAAGTGAAGGTCATAGTATTTATTCAAGGCCTAATCCTAACATTCAGATACCCATTTATTTATATATGCCGTATCTGTTTAAACAAAAACAGTTTCCACCTGTAACTCACAGAACTTGTGATTAATTAGAAGGACAGATAAAAGGTGAAGGTGTATTCAGTCTAGTACATTAGAAATACCTAAGAAAGGTACTGGCAAAGATACCATGAAAGTAAAGCTTGTAGGAGAGTGTGAGTGTACTTTTGAGATGGGGAATTGATTAACAATTAAACTTGGATAAAAATATGTGTAATATATTCTATAATATGGACAGTGATCGTAAGTCATTAACATGGATTAAAAAAAAAGGAAGAAAAACATTGCTGCACTAGTTTACCTAACGATTTAAAGAATCTAAGTGTTTTAACAACAGCAAACAAATGACATCCTCCTCTGTTTCAACAATCAGATTATGTCGTATCATTTGCTAAATGGATTAGCAAATTAATTGGCAGATTCAAGAAAATAAAAAAAGACAAAGCAACCAATGTGTTTTATAGTGGTTTGAAATACTAGAAGTTTAAATACTTTCAGCTAATATCAATATGAATTTGGAAAATACAAAGTGAAATACATTCCTAACTTGGTCTTGATACTATAAACAATTTTTAGTGGAGCACAAGCACTGAGAATAATTGTGTAGTGAAGTTAGTACTTTGTGGATCAAAACCCATAAACTTTCTGCCCCCTGCTGCTTAGTCCAGTAAAAAATAAACAGATGTACAAATCTGCATGGAATGCAAACAGCAAAGGACCCAACCTTAACTTCTGAAAATGTAATCTAGTTTATGTTTAGAAGATGTGGGACACTTAGCTGTTCTAGGCACTTGGACCTTTGCAGCTCAGTGAAATTCCCTTGAACTCAGTGGACTATCAAAAATGTGACAGGGACCTATTCACAAATTACATGCTTTATTTTAATATGTACATACACAGAGCCATCTTGCAATTATGATGTGGAAGTATAATACATAGAAGAAATGTCAAATCCTCCCTTCAACAACATTTTTACATTTTAAAATGATGTGTTAGGTCAGAAATTACATGAAGGAAAAAACAGTCCTCCCTACACAGTGCAGCATGCACCCCAATTTTGGCTCATCCTAATCACACTCCAGTACTTCATGACAGAGATCTGTGGAAAGTAATGTTACTATGGAAGTGCATATTATCATTGAACGCTCCCTTAATCAAAATGACATGGAAAATAAAGCTGAGAGAGGCACTGAGAGGTCGTCTATTCCATATCATAGTCACAAAACAGAGCCACTTTATCTAGGCATATTGCATACGTCAATCCAGTACAGTGCAGTTCCAAAGCACCCTATACTTTCCAGAAGTTATTAATAGGAACATATGAACTTTTCCTGTGCTCATGTAAGTAGTGCCACTGTCAGCACAGCAAATCTGAGGAGTCACCTTAAAAAGAGAAAAGAATGATCTTAAAAGATAAGCTGAATGACACTTTTTTTCCTTTTATAAAAGCAGGACTCCCTTTTTGCAGACTTGCAAAAAATAGAGAAGCAACCTCAAATAAAACTTTGCTTTTAATCACTAAATATAAGAGCAGATTTTAGAAGTTTATAAAAAATAAGGTGGACCAAAAGTAATATTACACCACAATTTTAATAGTTTATAAATAATGTCTTGTACTCTCCTCTTCTTGTTTAGTGATTTCTATAAAGCAATAGCAAAATCATGAGAGGAAACAAGCTATATCAAATGTAACTTTAAATATCACTTTTCATTTTGTATAGTTTACATTCAAAATGAAAAATCCAGATCTGTATGTGAACTTTCATTTAGCACTATTTATAGGGTACTGAAGGAGGAGATGCTTTTTCAGACTCTTCAGCTTCAATTGCATGACAAAAGAGCATTTTATACAAATAGAGTAATTGCAAGATGGGCAATTCAAAGCTGCCCAAATACATCAATGACAGTAATGACATTTGGGGCACTGTGCTCAGAGAAACAACCACTGTTTGCCGTGATGCCAGCTAACTTTGGTAGCTCTTTTTCTTTTTACAAAACAATGAAGAAATAGGTAAAAATGTTCAGATTCACAGGGCTTTAGGGAGATTAGTTATGAAGATCTAGGACTTAACTTTAGAATCCTTTTTATTTGCTGCTATGAGTTCTGGACTATTGCTATACAAAAGAGAAGGTGGTATGGAGTAAAGAGAAAATGCTGGCCAGCCTATGTAGATGCTGTTCTTGTATTTCACTTACAACTGAAATACAAGATAAATATCTATAAAAATAAATAGAAAAATAAGCCAATTACATGGAAAAACTCATCAGACAGAAGTGTGAAGTAGAAACATTTGCTCACCATGTAAGTGAAGAGAAAAAACAACAGATGACAACCACATGTAATCATTCCACCAAAACTATGAGACAACTCGCATATGGTTGTTCTTCCCCATTTATTTTAGGCAACAGCAAAATATCGAGGGACCTGCAGTGTGAGTAAAGATTCCGAAGACCACTCTGTAATACAATGGTCCTCCCCACAAAACCCTTTTAATTCCTTCCCAAAATAACAAGTAGCACCCCATATATTCTTAGACACCATTCAAGTGCAGTAGGCAGTGGACAAACCTTCATTAATGCATATTTAGCTCAAATTGCACATTCTTACATACAAAACATAATACATGCAAAAAACACCCTTCTATTGCACATGCTGTGTATGCTATCAAATGCTTTCTGTATGTATCAAGTCAGAGCTATGGCAGAGAAGTCTCAACAGACAAGGTTAAATGAACCATATTTAGTCATGAGATGTTCAGCAGAAACCTCTGTGATTATGAAATCCCAACTATCACCATGAATTAATGTAATAAATGTCCAAACAATCTGCTTATTAAATAATGGCCAGTATGGCATCATGGGTCAGTAGTCTGACATTTTAAGAAAGTATTAGCTGATTCGTACACAGGAGCTGAAATTAAGCTTGTTATAATAACCCACATCAGCTATATCCTTTATTAGTAATTAATGGTATCTAACAAGATATTCTTGTTAGATGGTAAAGCGATATCTAACAAGAGTTGAGATCTCCTAAAACGTAGATCAGACCAGAAGGCTGGAAGAGCATTCCCATGCCACAGCACGCCACTGCTTGGCAGAAGCATTTCCAAGATGATTAACTGCAACCAGGTGTTGTGGGGGAAGAGAAAGGTGGAAGGGCCTGGAAGAAAGTCAGTGTAGGACTGGAAGAAGGCCAATGTCATGACAGTCTTCAAAAAAGGCAAGAAGGAGGACCCAGGCAACTACAGGCCAGTCATCCTCACCTACGTCCCTGGAAAAGTGATGGACCAGGTCGTACTGGCCGTTGTCTCCAGGCACATGGAGGACAAGAAGGTGCTCAAGAGTAGTCAGCATGGATTCACCAAGGGGAAATCTTGCCTGACTAACCTGGTAGCCTTCTATGATGGAATGACCGGCTGGATAGACGAGGGGAGAGTGGTGGATGTCGTCTATCTTGACTTCACCAAGGCTTTTGACACCGTCCCTCACAACATCCTCCTGGGCAAGCTCCGGAAGTGTGGGATAGATGAGTGCACAGTGAGGTGGATTAGGAACTGCCTGGATGGCAGGGCCCAGAGAGTGGTGATCAGCGGTGCCAAGTCTAGTTGGAGGCCTGTAGCTAGCGGGGTCCCCCAGGGGTCAGTCCTCGGCCCAGTCCTGTTCAATTTATTCATCAATGACCTGGATGAAGGCACAGAGTGCTCCCTCAGCAAGTTTGCTGATGATACCAAACTGGGAGGAGTAGCTGATACCCCAGAGGGCTGCACTGCCATCCAGAGGGACCTGGACAGACTGGACAACTGGGCAGTGAAAAACCTCATGCAATTCAACAAGGCCAAGTGCAAGGGCCTGCACCTGGGGAGGAATAACCCCAGACACCAGAACAGGCTGGGAACCAACCTTCTGGAGAGCAGCTCTGCAGAGAGGGACCTGGGTGTCCTGGACGACAGGTTGATCATGAGGCAGCAGTGTGCCCTTGTGGCCAAGAAGGCCAATGGGATCCTGGGGTGCATTAAGAAGAGCATCTCCAGCAGGTCGAGGGAGGTGATCCTGCCCCTCTACTCAGCCCTGGTGAGGCCGCATCTGGAGTACTGTGTCCAGTTCTGGGCTCCACAGTACAAGAGGAATGTGGAGCTGCTGGAGAGAGTCCAGCGCAGGGCTTGGTGGCCACCGACAGAACTAGAGGAAACGGCCAGAAACCGAAACACCAAAAGTTCCACAGGAACTTAAGGAAAAATTTTTTGACAATGAGGGTGCCAGAGCACTGGAACGGGCTGCCCAGAGAGGTTGTGGAGTCTCCTTCTCTGGAGATCTTCAAAACCCACTTGGATGCAGCCCTGTGCCACGTGCTCTAGGTGACCCTGCGTGTGCAGGGGTTGGACTAGATGACCTCGAGAGGTCCCTTCCAACCTTGAGCATTCTGTGATTTTGTGATTCTAAGGGCAGCGCAACAGCCGGCTTCGGCAAGAGGGCAGCACTCGCCCAGCTGCCAGCGTAGCTGTAGGCAAACATGAGTCAAAATGGAAGAACTCGTCCCGGAAAGTACCATTTCTATCCAGTTCATATTTATTTTATTTCAAAACAGAACCAAAACCAAGAAAAAAAGTTTGCTTGATAAACATAATAAATGTGTGGTTTTATACAGTATTTAATCAGCTCTACTTAATGTAGGAAAGTTCTTTAAGTATACTAATTTAGAGCTAAAGAAACACTAAATATTGCATGCTGAACTATATGTGCAGGTAAAGCAAAACTAATTACCGATCTCATATCAGGCAGCTGTGTAAAGTTAGCAGCTGAGGACGCTCAGCTTATAATTACTGGCTCAAACTCCTGGCATAGGAAAGTTTTTCATCTGATTCAGACGTTTATTTTCCTCAAAATGTCGTTTCGGTCATTTCACAAACTGCCTCACGAGACAGCAGCCATGAGTCAGTGCTACTTCATGTTGCGCACTATTCTCCTGCAGTGGTTGCTTTTCATTTCCCCCAAGGCTTGTTCCAGCTGCCGAATGAGGTGAAGGAGGGTAGAAGGGTCGGTCTGCAGCACTTGGGCAGTCTGGTCCCCGCTCTCACTGAGGTGCAGCTTCAGAGTCACAAAAGGCTTAATCTGCTGCCGCAAGCTCCTGCTTGCAAGCTGTCCAAGGGAGTTCAGGCAGGATGGGAAAAGGAAACAAAGACAAGAAAGACAGTTGACAACTTTCACATTTGCAGTTCAGGTGGGTTACAGGACCTGCCTGCAGGACTGCTTAAAAATCCTTTTAATTCACAAATAAAGATATGCATTGTCTGTTATTTAGCTTTATCATTAGGTAGTATTCGTTCACTCTAAAAAACACTTTCAGATTTCACTTTTGTGAAAGTTAGTGGACATGCAAGACAATCTTTTTAGTATACTCTACCATTCTTAAAGTACCAATGGAGCTATGAGCTTAGTTTTCATAATGATGCAAGTGATTTTTTGCTTTATGTATCCTGTCCAGCTTAAAGTTAGTTATCTTCTGTACAATAACAAAATTATGTCAATATTACAAAAAACACCCTGGTGCCTCAATTACTTTGGAATAATACAAATCACATTGTTTTGTTCACAACTGCTTGCAGTGTTGAAATCAAGTAAAATGCAGAATAGTTAAAAAGTAGTAAACAAAAGAGATTACCTGCACATCTAACCTCCATTCAAGATTGTGGTAACTGGGAAGCCTTGGTGCCAGCTCACTAAGAACACTCCTGATCTCCTTCCTGTTGTCAAGGTAAAGCTGGAGCAATAATTTGTTCAGTTCATCCGAGAATCCCAGAACATGGACAGAATCCTGGAAGTCTGTCTCAGAGATCTGGAAATCAACAAGGTGCAACCTTTTGCAATATTCATCATTTGCTGAGAAACAAGTAAAGCTCAGTAAACACCATTAGTGTGGTATGGCACAATTATTTTCCTGCAGAAATCACACACAGCTAGGACAAAACAAATCACCCACACTGCAAGTGATTTATATATGTTGAGTCATTACTGTTAATTTGAACAAACTTTGGAAACAGGTTTTAAATGTTTAAAAAAGGTTCAACATATTCATGTCTGATCCTTCATAACAAAGAACAAGACACAACAGAAAAAAATGCTCTAAGCTTTTGAAATATGTTTCTAGATAGCCAGTTTATCGATGGCATTGATTTAATATTGATACTAAAGCTATAAAATCTCTGAAATGAGCTGATTAACGACAGCTCTAAGCAGACAGCGTGTAAAGCTCTGAAGCTCAGGGTTATTAACCAGACTGACCCCCAGAAGGCTATGCCCTAGGTCGAAGCCTTTGTGCTGAAATGGGGAAGTTTGGTTATTTACTGAATGGTGAAAGTTACATACCTGCAAAGGAGTGCGTATTTTCCATACAGGAAACACATTCCATGATCACCTATATTCTGTGATAAGGCTGCAATAACTTACCTGTCCTTCAAACCACCTTACTTCAATAGAAAATTCTGCACTTTTTCATTTTTGTTCCTATCAGCTCTTCAGCACAGCCAATGCCTGCTTGGAGCTAAACTGGAATCATTTCTCTGCATCTGTTTCCCACCCTTTCAATGTCAAAAGTTCTTCAGTGTGAACGGTGAGCAGTTTTTCCAATGGAAGCAGATATTGTCCTACGTTGTTCTTGCAGTATTTGCTCACGCGCAGCCCAACGCAGCGGGCAGGGGCCGGGAGCTCCCAGCGAGGCAGCAGCAGCGCCCGGCGCGGGGCAGCGCGCGGCCCCGCAGAGCTGCGGCGTCTCCTGCCCTGCGCGCGGCGCGGCCTCCCGCGCACTGCGGAGCCCTCCCGTTACCTGCTCCACGCTCCCGTTTTTAGTGTTGAAACAGTCAGGTCTTGGCTCCAAAGACACTCAACGCAAATTGCAGACGAGCCAAATCACGCATGCGGATGTGCAAAGAGAACTCCGCCAGGGGCACACATCACTTCCTTTTTAAGACTGCTATTTTTAAAGGAGAGAATCTGTCTCGTCAGGACTCTGGGTCTCCCCGAGCGCAGCCCTCACCATGAGCTTGGAGCTCTCGGCCAGGAGGTAGCTGAGCCCGTCCACGCCGCGCTGCAGGGCCTCGGCGCCCACGTCCAGGTTCCCTTCGAAGGAAGCGCGGGGCCCCTGAGCGGCGGGCAGAGCCGCCCGCGCCCCGCAGC